GGCTATCAGACAGCCTAAAGTGGTTCATAAAAACTTACTGAGGATTAGACAGCTGGTATTTTAAGCTATTGTTTCATATTGTAATTGAATACATTACTTTTTAAAATTAAAAATATTTGAAGTTTTTGTTAAGAATTAAAGAGTATTGTAGGTCATGTTATTAATTCCATTTTAACTTTTTTTTTGAAAGCAAAGGACTTTTATTAATGGACCAGTGCTAACTCACTCCAAAAATCAGTAAAGATGCTTTACTTAATGTGAAATTCAGTCTGAATCATGTTATGTTCACTGTTTTAGTGTGTTTTAAGTCAAGTAATCACAGTCGTGCAGTAATGACTCAAAGAAGTCAATACATTTATAGCTTCACCAGGAAAACATCACTAAGGATTGTATATACATAGAGTGCCATTGACTACTTGGATGGACAGTGGTAATGATGTAGAGCACAGGTGACTTTGTATCTCTATTAAAATTCATACAGGCTTAAAGGAAAAACATAAACTCTGAGTATTTTGACTTGACTACTACATCAGAATATTAGAATGTAGTTGCTGATAATTGATGCCTAATTAAATTATACCAAATAATACCAAAGATGTTTTTATGTGATGTGTCACTTCTCTGTTAGTGTGAACAGTGCTGTGTTTACCAGCTAATCACAGAATCAGAGAATGGGTCAGGTTGGAAGGGCCCACAGCAGGTCATCTGGTCCTTCCTGCCCAAGCAGGGCCATCTAGGCCACATGGTACAGGAGTGCATCCAGATGGTTTTTTAATAAACTCTCTCCAGTGAGGGAGACTCCACAACCTTCCTGGGCAATCAGAAAGAATTTCTTCCTCATATTCAGGTAGAATTTCCTGTGCATCAGTTTCTGCCCCTTGCCTCTTGTCCTATTGCTCGGCATCACCGAGCAGAGCCTGGTCCCTCCTGTGGCCCCTCCCTGCAGACACTGACAGACACTGCTGAGGTCCCCTCTCAGCTGTCTCCTCTCCAGGCTGAACAGGCACTGCTCCCTCAGCCTGTCCCTTAAAGTTATGCCTTGGAAACTTTGTAGCCCTGAGGTGGATGTGCTTCGAGGGCTCCATGTCTCGTCCTGAGGAGCCGAGAACGGGACACAGCTCTTCAGATGTACCTCACCAGGGCTGAGCAGAGGGGATAGGATCGCCTCCCTAGACCTGCTGGCATTGTTCTTTAACGCAGCCCAGGATACCACTGGCCTTCTTGGCCACAAGGGCACACTGCTGGTTCATGGACGGCTTTGCTTTAGAAATTACCGTGTCATTTTAAAGAAGCTTCCTGGAAGGGCGACATTGTGTTTTATGCCTTACGAGTGGAATGGTATTGATCCTTTAAATGTTCTACCCCCGGAGGTCACTGTCTACAGACACCTCTGAATTTCATTCTACTGGTGACTTACAGATAGTCCTGGACCTTGGAGAGAAATTAGAGGTTTGGTTTGGCTCATACTAGAGCTTTATTTGGAGCATTTAAAAGTGGAGAAAGATTTTTGTTGCTCTCTTAGAGTGTTGATGGCTGTTTTGTGGTTTTGGATTATTTTTCTAACCTCTGCCCTTTTGAACACTCTCCTGCACTAGAGATATTAGACACATGCTAAATACCATTGCCCTAAATTCTGTATATTCCCTACAATGGCAAGATTTCAAGTTTGGTGTTTTTTTCTTTTTTTTTCTTTTTTTTTCTTTTTTCTTTTTTTTTTTTTTTAAGACTTCTAGTGTGTGTTTATGCATCACAGGAATATGTTTAGAAAAACATATAAAGAAGAGAGTTGGGGAGAGAACAGGGTATCCTGATGCTTACTGAAATATTTCTATTAGCTTTACTAATAGGTGGAAAGGGGGGTTATTTCTGGCATAAAATGAAAGAAATCCACCTAGTCTAAAAAACGCAGAACCCATTTATGAGCAGAAATTGTCTGACCCTATGCATTTCCTCTCAGACACTGTTCACACATTACTGAAACACATTCACTGTGTTGTTTCTCTTTTATTTTCCTCTGTTACATTTTGGTCTAGTCTCCTCTCATACATTTTCTAATCATGTACCTCCATTAATTTATTTTCTTTTCACCTCATTTACAGCTCTGTAAATATTTTCAGGTTTCCAGGAGCACAAACATAGAAGTTATTTGTGTTTCTTTTTTACTTAATCAGCTCAGTACAATGTAACTGAGCTGAGCTGAACTTGGGAGAAAATTAGAAATTACATGAACCTCTTTTCAAAACTGAAAAGCAACTGGAGAGACGTATCCTGAATTCACTTGAGCGGTAAGTCTCTGCCTCAGCCAAAACCAGAGAGGTACATCCCCTATAAAGGGATTAGAGCATGCAAACAGATACCTTTGCAGATAACACTTAGGGTATCTGGATGCTGAGATCTTGTCAATCTTTACAAATTTAGGGATCAATTCTATGGATTCACTTTGACTTTCCAACAAGTTATTTTCAGTATTTTAATAAATACAATGACCTCAAGCTATGATCAGGCTTTTCCTCACTGAAACCTGCAATTCCTGCCATAAATGTACTGAAATCATCAGGTAAATCAACAGCCAAATTGACTTAAGAAAATAGGAATTTAAGAGCCACTTACAATAAATAAAAATTAATTTGCAAACTTGTTCAATTTGGTTGATGCTGTGAAGCCAAACATATTAACTTTCTTGAACATGGCGTTTTTATTTTGTGGATGACTTTTCAATTTTCTGTTACCAAGCCTATGAAAACAGTCTGAGGCTTAAAAAGGCAGTCAAGAATTGTGCTAATTGACATGACACTGAGAAGAACCCTGTGGTTAGAATAAACTCTAAGCAAAATTGTCAGCATAAATATCCTGCAACTGGCTAATAACCTCCCCCTTTCCTGATCCACCTGGAAGGGATAACAGAGACCTTTCACTACAAGATTCAGGACCAAAACCCCACCAGAATAAATCAAGTTCTGATTAAATCTTTAAACTGTGATGAAGGGGAAGGCAGCAAACATGGCTACTGATATTCTAGTTGGAAGAGCTAGAAAAACACCTCAAGACCAACGTTGAATCACTTGACATAATGAAAGTGTCTTACCACATTATACTGTATTTTGGACTACAGTGACAATTTCTGTATGCCTTGGAAAAGACTTGCTGAGTAAACTCACAGAACCATAGAATGGTTTGGTTTAGAAGGGACCTTGAAGATCATCTAGTTCCCAACCTCCTTTCCAGTACAACTTCCTCATATAAATCTGCTGAAAAGCATTAGCCTTGTACTCCCTGTTACCAAAGCAGAAGGAAAAAAGTATAAGCTTTCATGGTAAAAAAAAATCTGTTCCTAACTGTATGTAGTTTTAACCAAGGACAGACTCATGAAAAGCAATCTTGGACAGTTTCTACTCTGAAAATTCATCTGGAAGTCTCCCTTCAAGATAAATTATTTTCTTAGGAGGCAGAAAGTCATATCATCTGATGGATTTAAAGTTCCCTTCTATTCCCTACTACAGATAGGAAAAATGATGGAGTTAATTTTTCATAAATTATTAATAATAAATTATTTCATAAAAATACTGTGTTTTTCTTTTGTGCTTGAAATCAGTAACACATGATTAATACAAACTTCCTAAATGAAAAAGAAAACCCCACCTACTAGAATAACTGAGCTCAAGAATGAATAATCAATCCATAGCAGCGGTTTAGAGCAGGATAAATACATAAAACCTGAATTTTGTGAATATTCTTTCAGTTTTATAATCAAATCTGTTTCTAAATGCTTTCAGACCTAGTTTTATTAATTTTGGTGAAATTTTGGTGGCACTTTGGTGAAAGAACATCTGTTTTTGCAGACTTGATGATTCCTTCCAAGTTATATTATGGTCATTACTTTTTCTGAACTAGACCCCCAAGCCTGTAACTTGGATGAGCGTCCACTGCTAGGCACTGGACCGCCCGAGCCCCCTCTCGAAGCTCTTAGGTCTGCGAGACATTTTCGCTGGAGAACGAGGGTAGAGGAGCGCAATTAACACCACGACGGTCACAGAGAGGCTCTAAGTCCTCCTTTTTCTGTTTCCATGGGCACGCACACCCGTCGACAGGTCGGAGGCGGAGGCGGGCAGGGGACGGCACTTGGCCAAGGGTGGGCTGCCGGGCTGTCCTGCCCGGGAGCGGCCGGGCACAGCGCTGCTCGCTGTGCCGGCCCGGAGCGCAGCCGCCGCGGAAGAGGCGCGGGGCCCGGCGGTGAGAGATCCGCAGCCCCGGCAGCGCAGCCCCGCAGCTCCCGGGAAGGGCGGCACGGGTCCCGCCGGGGGCACGGAGCGCAGCGGGCCCCGTGCCCGCCGCCGCCGGCCTTCGCAACACGGCGCTGCCCGCTTCCTCCCCGCTGCGGCCGGGGAGCCGCCCCGCCGCCCGCAGAACTCGCTCCTGGCATTTCTCCGTTGCTCGGGAGGCGGCGGCAGCCTGGGCCCGGAGCCCGGGCGGGCGGAGGCGAGCGCCGGCGGCGGGGCCGGGACCATCGCGCCCGCCGCCGCCTCCCGGGCCGTCCGCACGGCTCTGTGCATCCGCCTCTTCCTCCCCCCGCGCCGCCTCCGCCGGGGGAGCCGGCGGGGGCCGTACGTGCCGGGCCGGGAGCGAGGGGAGGGTCTGCGGCTCGGCGTCGCTGCAGCAAGCGCCGGCCCCGCCGCGCCGCCAGGGACCGGGTGCGGGTGCCGCCGCCGGCTCTCCGCGCTGTGCTGCTGCTGCGCGGCGATCGCCGCTGCTGGCGGGAGGGGCAGGGATGTGAGCGGCAGCGGCCGGGTCGGCTTGGCCCCCCCGCCCTTTTTTTTTTTTTTCCCCTTTTTTTTTTTTTTTCTTTTTCTCTCGCCTCCAAAAAAAGACCAAACCAGCCAGCCAACCAACCCCAAAAAACCCAGAGGGCGTGGGGGGGGTGGGGGGTGGGGGGATCCCAAGTCGCCGCCGCCACCCTCCGCTGGATCCATTGTGAGGAAATTGCCATTCGCCGGCAGCGGCGGCACATCTGGGCGGGCGCATCTGGCAAACAACATCGGCTCCCGCCGCCTGCCTCCAACGTCCTCCAACCGGCCGAACGGATCTCACCGGGCCGCCGGAGAGGCTCCTGCCCGTCAGCCCCGGGCTCATTCTTTCGGGCTGAATCTTAAAAATACCCTGGCAGCGCGGGGGGTGGGGTGGGGTGGAAATAAAGGCTGCTATTTTTTTCCCCTGGGCTTTATTTCATGGGGATGTGTTCAAGACAAGAGAGGATTCAGAAGGATATTGACGTTGTGATCCAAAAGTGCAAGGCGGAGAAGGACTGCCTGTTTGCAGGTGAGTTTGTCCCCGGGCGCCAGGTTGGCGGCGCGGAGGCTCCCGTCGCCGCCGCCGCCGCCGCGCCCGCCCCGGACCGCGCTCCCGCCGTGCCCGTGCCCTTCGCCGCCGTTCCCGGCCGCGGGGCCGCTCTCAGACCCCGTCTTCCTCCTCTCCTTCCGAGGGCATATGAGGGCAGAGGAGATCAGGCGCCGGCCGGGAAAGGGGCGGAATCCCGAGGCGGGGAGCGTAGCGATGGCCACACGCAGCACCGGGAGCGCTGGGTGCGAGCCCGAGCCCGGCGCAGCCCGCGGCCGAGCGCAGCTCGGGGGGTTTTCTCTAGGCGGCTGTTCCCGGGCGTCCGCGCCCTGCCGCCCTCGGCGCCTGCCCTGATCCCCGGCCCCAGGCCGGTGGCACATCCAGCCGCAAACGGGGCCCGGGCCGTGCCAAGAGCCCCTGCCGCCCTCCCCTGGGGATTCGCGGCGCCCCGGCGGTGCCGGTCGCGGTGAGCCGTCGCAGGAGCCCGGCTCTCGGCTGCCTGTTGCCGTGTGTGACAATGGAATTCCCTGCCGTTGCCATAGCACCGGGCACTTGTTGCGAGGGGCTGGGGGGAGATGCTGCATTTCCTCTGGCTCACCCCGACTCCCCCTCCACCGCCCCCGTGTCGGGAGCTGAACGCTGCTCCGTAAAACCTCGGCTACTTCAGCCAAAATTAAGACAAGTTGTAATAAAGCAGCTCTTTGTCTTTCAGATTTCAGGTACTCAGACTCCACCTTTACCTTCACCTATATTGGAGGCTCCAAAAGGTACTTTTTATATAGTAATGACTTCATTTCCTGGTGGCAGTGAAATGCAGTGGTTCAATAACGTGGCAGGTTTTTTTGTTTACTAATCTTTTGCAAGAAGGATGATTAAATCGTTGGCCTTCGTGCAAATGTAAACTGAGGAAGAGGTGTGGAGACAGGCGATGAGAAAGGTGATCCTAGCTGTCAGAGGCTCGTTCCTCAAAGTCTTGCTCTGAAGCTTTTTGTCTTTGTTTCTTTTCTCAATTTCTGTAAAAATGTAGGATTCCTGCCATATGTAAACCTAACAGTAACATTACAAATGCATCAATGTATGGTGTGAACTTAATTCATGTTAAAGGACTGGGAAAAGTTAAGATTGTAATGACAAATAGGCCAAATTTCACATCAGCAGCTTACTTCGATGCATGAGAGCCATATTTGGTCTCATGGCAGATGCAAGGCTGTCTGCAGTTGACCAAATTAAATTCCTGGGACTTTAAATGAAACGTCAGTATAACTTAGAAGGCTAAGAAAATGTTGTATTGCATATTTAAATATTATTTTTAAGTGGATCCAAGCTTGTGGTTATAAATTGGATTGTACCTGTACACATTCTCAAAATATATTTCAGCATTTGTTGTGCTTGTCAGTTTTCAAAACAAAATTTATGTAGAAACTTGAACACATTCTTCTGTTTTCCCTGATTGTTAGTTATTATTTACTTAATAAGGTGTTAAAAGTAAATGGTGAGTTGGTCTCTTCAGCTAGATTTTTAAAATTTGATTTAGCAAGAAGTTTTGCATTTATTTTTTGGTTCCTTTTTTTTAATAATTCAGTTTCTCTGGTATCTTTGTCAGTTATTTTTCTTTCTGGGATACATCATGTTAAAGTACTGCATTCTTCTGTATTCTTTGGAAGTGAACCTTCAGTGGAGGCAGCACTCCCACAGCCATCAGTGCTCTCTCTGTACATACTTTGGGATCTGGCTGTAGGACCAGACTCCCAGATGGTCCCCAGGCTCCAGGATTGTTCAGAAAAATGTTTTCCCACCTCACTACCCTACCACTTCCTATTAAAGGAAAGGATAACTTCTGTCATATTCAGAGAAGTAGAATATTTCACCCAAATATGAAAAAATCAGTAATTTTTTCAGGCAGCTCATAGTGTACTTTTGCCTTCAGTATTTTAATATAACTTTTGTTTTGTTGTGGTTTTAAGACAGTTTCGAAAGGATTGATACTGAAACACAGGCCTCACTTGTCATAAGCACCTTAGCATAGGTATGAATTCACAAAACCTTAAAGGTGTGACTGCTGCGTAATCACTGTAACTGCGTAACTGCAATCACTTTTGCAAGCAGGGCCTAGCCCTGGTGGGCTAAGGTGATACGAAGGGAGAGGCATTTCACTGTTGTGAAAGGCTAGAAAAATGCAAAGTCATAACTTTCGTTTTAATAGAAAGCAGAAGAATGTAATCAATAAAGCACAGTTACGGCAAAGCATGGTACCAGTTAGATAAATGTGATGCATATGATAGATCTACCATGTTTGCAACCCTAAGATAATGAAACCACAAGTTATGTAAGATCCTAGCCCTTAAAACTGTACCTTTTAGATAAGCAGACAAACAAGGGTGGATGCTAGAATTGTAAAGATATAAAAGCCTGTGTAAAATGAACCACAGTCAGACATGCATATGGAGGTGCTAACCCCTGCATGTTCTCTTGGTGTCAATAAAGGTGTAGTTTTCTTTACACTACCTGCTGTGGAGCAGATTCCTTTGAATCAGTACAGTAAAAACTATTTAACAGAGACACTATTTATCATTTAAATAAAATGATTGAATATGAAAGTTACGTTGAGTTGTTCTCTAAACCAAATATCATAGCAAGAAAACAGGAAGTTAAACTTGTCTGTTGTTTCCATTTTGTGAGCTGCATAAAGTAAAAACCCTAATGGCAAACAAACTGGTTTATCTATGTTGAAACAAAGTGTTGGCACTTGCTCAGTGAGAAATGGAAGATGTTCCCCAGCCTTGAATTTTAACAGGGGTCAGCATTTTTTTAAGAAATTGATGACTGAAAATCAGTCTCAGGACCTTAATGATTCATTGAGAAATGAAATTGAGAAACAGTCGTAATGCTTACAGGAATTGGTGGAAGTGGGTTGTTACTTAGAGCACGCTCAAATTCCACTTTCATTTTCACATTTTAAGAACATTTAAAAAATGTCCTTTTAGAGAAGGGTTTTGTTGGTCTCTGCGTTCCCTCCTTGTTTGTATTCTGATTTAGGAAGTTGTTCAGCGGTACTCTTAGTGTACAGTGTTGTACTGAGTGGCAGGCTTACGGCAGTAAGCTCTCATACATATAAAGTGTGTAAAATGAAAGCTATTCAACAAGACTTCAGCTTCTTACATCAGAGGTGTGTGAGTGGTTTCTTCTTAGAGGAGGTTCTCCTGGAGCAGCAGCTATATGCAATAGGTGGGGCAGTCAGGCAAGTCTCCAGTATTGGGTCAACAGCAGTGATTTATACATGGTAACAGTTTAGGAGAGTACAAGGTCATCCAAGGAGCTTCTTTTTGGCCTTTGGGTATGAGTTTTTTCTTGCTGACTGCTGCAGCTGTGCACTTCCTGAGTGGTAAGACCATTTTTTGATTGTTGCACTCAGGAGTTGTCCTGAAATGATACAGACTGTTTTATCTCATGGTCATGGACTCATCAGCCAGCAGGCCTTGTTCAGTTGCTTCAGATACTCAGCCCAATGACTTTTTTCAGTCCACAGGAGCACAAACATTAGAGTGATAGGCAAAGGAATGGATGTTCACTGAATGGGTGTTCAAACCAAGAAAAGGTTTGAATGAATAGGAGTAGAAGTGGTATGTAAGGAAAATTACAGGACTTGAGTACTCATTATTAGCCATGCTTGGAACTAAGAATTTTTCATGCTTTGTTTCCTTTAAATATTTTTTTTAGGTCAGTGTGTAATACGGCCTTGGTTTAGCCATAGTGGTTACATGGAAAAGCAGAAGCCCTTGAAAGAAAGCAGTCTGTTTTAGAAGCAAGATTCTTTGGCAAATGACAGTACTAGCAAGTTTATGTCTGTTTATCAGTGATCTCAGAGCTTGATACACAGTACATCGGGGTAAGCCCATGGAAGACAGTGTACTGTGTTATTAGAGTGTACACTGCATTATTTCAGTTATTATGAGGACCTGAGATTTGTGGTTTTTTTCTTCAAACTGCTAAGTTTATCTGTGTGATATTTTTTTCCTTGGGACCAGCTTCTCAGACTTTACCTGATTTTTCTCTTGTTGCTTGGATTGATTGCACAGCCTCCTTCTGCACTTCTGAAATATTAAGGTGGTACATGAGCATGCTGCAGATCCATCCAAATAGATAAGCCTGATACAGAGGACATTTATTATTGCTTATGTGGAGTTAACTTGCAATCCCATAGTAAATTAGTAGTAGTTCAGACAATCCTTTTAGATTGTACTTCTTAATGCATTGTGTTCACGCTTCCAGATTATTAGATCTATTTGTCACTGCAGAGATGTGACCTGTTTTGGGAAGGTTGTAATTAGCAATTTGTCAGTAAAAGCACATCTTTGTGCATAATGTGTGTGCTAAATAGAGGACAGATTATTTATCAATTTTATAGATTTTTATTTCATTGTCAGAAAGTAATAAGTAGGTTGATTTCTTATAAAAAGAGGTGTTCAGTCAGGTGCTGTGACTGTGCAAGATTTACTCTCCTTTAACTATATATAGAAGAAAATTTAAAAACTGCCTTATTTTTTATTTTATTTCTGCAGGATCTAAAACATATCAAATTGTGAACATGTGGAGTTCTCCACTTTAAAAGAATCTCTGATTCCTTTTTCTGTCCCTGTATGAAACACTGTTCCTCCAGAAACCATGCAGACTGAACAGATCTGCTGATCTGTCATCTTTCAGATAAAAATGCGTGCTGCCCTGAAGTTGTTTTCACTTTATATGTCATTTGACATGCTTTACATAGAAGCAGTGCTTGGTTGAAAAAATATATTTTCTCTTTAGTATTTTTCTCACCCTGATTTTTTTTTTCCCTGAGGCTAAACAAGGACATCATATCAGTCCTGGAATACTTCATTCAAATATGTTCTTGACTCTCACTGGCAGAGAAGGACAATAAGGCAAGCACAACAATGACAATTAATATCATCATATTTATGACGACAAGGTTGTGCATGAGAACTAATAATGAGATCTAATACTGCAGGGTATTGCAAGTAAACTAGATAACACCTGAACATACAGATTAATTTTGCCAGCAAAGTTCTTATCTCCTATTCATGCAGTGGACTTATATTCTGCCTTCTGTACTTCACCACAATGATTGTAGCAATGGCAGTTCTGAAAAAGCAAGGAAATTTTGGTCTGAAGTATTTGTTTATTTTTGCTTATAATAATGACAGTTTGTTATCTTACATGGTTTTCATTTGAATATTTGCCTTTTTGTGTTTTATTCAGGAGGTTATTTTAGTATCAGGAGCTCTCATCTAAAATGACGAGTTAATTTCCACTTCGCTGTTGTAGTGAAGCATTTCACAGATAGGGAACTGTGCCACAGAAAGAGTGACTAAATTGCTTGTAACTTTATAGCTAGAGATGAAATTACTATCTGAAGTTCTAGCACATTATGTCCACGATGTGTTTAAACCACTTGACAGTAAATAGGTACAGATAACCTGTTTCTCCCTTTTTATGGTATGCTTTATTGCTGCTTTGGTGGATTTATAAAACTGCTTACATGAGAGATTCCATTTGGTGGAGAATTTTGAAATTCTGATGTAACTCTGCTAATACTGACGTCTTTGGTATACAAGTTGTAAAGAAAAATGTATTTGGGATAAATGATATATGTTATAATATTGATGTTCAATTTATGTAAAATATAGGAAGAAAGAGAAAACTGAAAAACAGTTTTTAAGCTAAAACATATAATTGTATTAATCAGAAAATAGCAAAATGAAACCCATTT